CCCAAGATTCCACGTATCCTGGCTCACACCTCATGAGCCAAATGACCAAGAAATCTTCCCAAATAGGGAAGTAAACATATTTTACGATTTCGGGGAAGACCCCGATCACGAAGCAGTAGTTTGCAAAATCTTAAACCACGTGTGGGTTCATGACAAACTCTGGTTTAAGGTCAAATGGGAACTAGGGGACACCACATGGGAACCCCTAGGAAATTGCAACGACCTCGTCCACCTGGACGAGTACCTCACATTACAAAATGTGAGGGAACCAGAAAATCTCCCTATCAGTGCTCTCAGCATCACTACACCCCCAAAAATGGAGGTGGAAGAAGTAAAGCCGAAGGGCGATTGCCCACAGCCAAGAGTGTGGGAAGATTCTGGGTGAGCAACTCACCTGGACAGCCACACCATGTGCTAGACATCACATGGGCTAGGAGTAACCTACCTAGATCACGTGAACCACAGGCTCATGTGTAAAACCACACACACTTGCAGCGAATCCCACGCACGCAAGAACCTAAACCCCTCCCACCACCACAAGAAACAAAACGACGAAAATGTCGTTCTCTGGGGGAGGCAACCCTCGATTTGATCCGAACAAGCTGCTGGACATCAAGATACGACAACCCGGGGAGCAAGACTCCCCAGAACAACAACAATACCAGGTGCATGTCATATCCATACAATCCCGACCTCCGCTCCGGGCTCCTGGAACTCCGAACTCTGACTTCTGGAGCCCTACTTCCCTTCCATCACTTTCTCCTTGCCGACTCCCAAGAGGTTATCCCACCTCCGGCTCAGACACCACCTTCGGTCCGACTCCGGAACATTCCGGGTCCGACCCCAACCTCGACACCTTCCAGACGAGTACGCAAAACCTATGCTCCCGACTCCGGACCTCCGCTCCGGCATCCCATTCACATCTCGTCTCCGGAACCTCTGGTCTTAGCTCCGACCTCGGACTTTGACCCCACCTCCGCTTATACCCATTGTATTGGTTAGCTCATTCCATTTAATTACGTTTGCCAATATTCCGGAGTTTAACCTCCGAGTTCAGACTTTCCGGACTTACTCCGGACCTTGCAACTATTGCATTGTCCATTTCAATTCCGCTATTCTCCCTCATTCCTATTTGGGCTGCTGCTTCCTTCTATTCAGTCAGCTAGCCATTCCCGACTCCCATTCTCCTTCCTTCCTTCTTGGGCCTTGGCCCTTCATTCCTCCTTTGGGAAACACCATTGAGTCAAACACTTGACCCTCGGTGTTGTTCCTCTTTCCATCTCCCTTTGTCTCCTTTTGTCCTACCCTTGTTCCTTTTGATTCCGGACCCCTCCTTATATACAATGTACCTAGTAACTTGTAACCTCAGTCCGAAATTGACATGAATTCCCCCAAGAGACTTTCCCTCTGCTAGATCCGAAATTAGGGACCCCTAGGACAACCAGCAATGGCACAGCGCTCCGCCTGAGTCGCTGAGGCCGAGGTCCTTCCACGCTAAGTCTCCGATTCCATTCCGGAGTCGTCCGAATCCGCCCATTCTAACAGTGCAGATAAGCGCCATGGACTACACGATGCACACGGCACAAATGAGTGGTGCAAACCAACAACCATCTGCGATGCCAACAGGCACCACATACCCCCAGGCTCCTCAAAGGGGCTTCCAACCATATGCAGTGCAAACTGCACCGATGGTGCAACAAGCGCCATTTCAGGGGCAGCATTTGCTGCTGCAGCCCCAGGCATACTCCCCAGGGAACTTCCCTGGCCAAATCACCCCCTGGATCAGCCAATTCAGCCCAGGTCCAACAACACCCCAGCCAAATGCAGGCTGGGAATCAGCTATCGCATCAGCAGTAGCTGCTCAGACAGGTCAACTCCATCAGGAGCTGAAAGAGATGAAGTCCCTTGTAGGAGGGAGATGAGGGAGCGACAGCGGCTCCTCATCCAGGCTGTCCAAATGGGCACAGTCTGGTAACTCGAGGGCGTCAGATGACGCCTGCAATAATTGCGCCCATTGGAGGCATGAGTACAATAGAGCATGAAGAGATGCCAAGGGCATCTTCGCCTCTCTGAAAGACACAGAGAGAGAAGTCGATCTCCAACAGAGGGAGATTGAATTACTAAAACGGGAGCTCAAAGAGGCATGCACACTGGCAGACCTCACTGCCAAACCCATCATGATGGGGGCCTCCCAGGTCAGGGGGAGGGGATACGGTGCCGGGGCATCGACTCTTCCGCCACCCTGTGGGCAGGCGACCCTGTCTGGGTTGCATAAGGGCCCGCCCTCAGAATGGCAAACCCATGTCAAGGGGAAGAGGGAGAGCAGTGGGCAACCGATGGCAGACCCCAAAACGGGGACCACTGCCAGAGGCAGTGGGCTGCTGAGTGCCTCAGCACCCTATGGGCAAGCTACCCTGCAGGGAAGTGTCCACATGCTATACAAGACCACCGAACTCAACGAGTTCAGTAAAGTCGAAGCTCCAGTCGACGTAACAATCAACCCCAACTTCCCCATGAGGAGAATAGCAGGGTCAGAAGTGGCACACAATGCCACATATGCTTGGTGGACAAGCGTGAGTGGGAAAGAATTTGTACACTGGTACGAACAGGCTGAAGCTGCCTTTAAAAGCGGCAAGGTACATAGAGTCCTTCGTGAAAAAGTGATGGAAATCGAGAAATACTTCTTGGGACTCCCGAGTATTGCAAGACTCGTGGAGGAGTACAATTCCCTAGAGAACAAGGGAAAAATCTCCTGGGAAAGTCTAGGCAAAGCTGCCTATATAAAGTCCCAGTTCAACCCACTCAGGACTCCTGAGGAACGTGCCGCAAGAACTGTGGAGTGGGAAGCGAAAGCTTCCAAATACCAGGAAAGAGATGCAAGTCTCCATGCTGGACAAACAGGCCAGCGACCACCCTTCCCCATGGGAAGAATGGTAAACTTACCATACTCTACACCGGAGGCAAGTAGCTTAGGAATGCAACAACCCACTCCCACCCAGGGAGCGCCAACTTCGTTGAGCCCACAGCTCAACAATGTAGCCCAGGCTACGTCATCGCATCCGACGCAGCAATCGGATGTCCAGATGAACAACCCAGAGGAAAACCCTCCTCCAGGGCAATAACTCTACCCTTGAGGAAAGGGAAAGTGACATGGTAATATGCCATTGAGGTGCCTGTGAAAACACCTTCCCCCAACTTGAGGCCCTGCACACAATATTGTACATATGTGAGGAACCACAAGTAACAATTGCGGAAATCTCTACTTCGTCAAAACCCACATCCACCACCGCTCATGCATAAACACCATTACACATGAATCCTCACGGAACAAGTGAGGAGGAACACCAAAGACATATAATCTTTGGGTCGAAATTTATTTTCGAAAAACCCCTTCTCTTCATCACTTTTGTCACAGCCATGTATTCCGGCCCATTAGCTGCCCATCCCGATACTGCCCGAGCCCATTCCCACTATGCAAGTGTGAGCACAAGCCCCAACCCTCATCCCTATTCTCCTTGAGGACTCCCCACTCACCCCCACTTGCCTGTGGTTCCCCAATGCTAGACCGACTCCCCCACTGCCACACCAACCTCCCCACCCTGAGTCCGCCTCCAGCACTGCACCGAGCGCGACTCCTCTACCCCACCCACTTGGCCCCTACAGGGCCGCTACCATTCCCGCACCCGACTCTGGCCCAACTCCAAGTCCAGCACCGCTACGATACCATCGCCGCTATCGCAGCCCTACACTCCTTCCTTTATTTATCTGTTATTGTTTGTTTTGACCCTCGGTCATTGCCGGCTGCTATGCGGCCAACCCCGCTCCTTATTCATGTTTGCTTCCGGACCCTTCGGCCTTCGGCCCGGGTCCACTTCCATTCATTCTTTCCTCCTATATATATCCTGTATACTACATTATAGTACTTCAGCTCTAATATTGATTTGACCATGACCCCCAAGTCCTGACCCCAGCAAGGCAACCCCAGTAAGTCTGAAGGGCCAAGAGACAGCTAGGGGGCACAGCGCTCCTTTAGAGTCGCTGAGGCCAAATGCCCTACCCTCAGGCCTTGTTTGTAGCATCACAGCCATCGCGGCCTATAGCGGCCCACAACGGTGACCCTTGGTGCCGACCCTGGACCAGTGTCTAACAACTTTCCCCTCTGTGATACCCATGTATCACTGTTCACTTCAAAGTGATGGCCCCACACTCATTTATTCCCTCAATTCCTCTCACCAACATGTATAAATCGTCCACTTTAAAGTGGTGACAATAAAACACTCATTGATAATCTCAAACTCAATGTAACTCATTTTTTTTTTTTTTAATTCTCTTCATCATTAACCTTGTATGCATCGCAAATGCAATGCAAGGGGGGAGAATGTCAGGGCAATAGCCTCGAACCCTGAGCCATATGTAATTACAAGATACATATAGTCACGTGGGTAAGCGGTAACTTTGTCGGAAAATCCCGTATATCATTTAAATGCCCGGGAAACATTTCATGGCATTTTTTTACAACAACTACCCAACAGCCGATGAGAATACATTGGTCAGATGTGGTGTTACTTTATGTGTTATATATGAGACAGATTTTTGACGATTTTGATGCTGTAGGAAGCATTTATGACACATTTATTAAGTTATTAAAAACATATTCAGAGCGTTTGAGGGGTATAAAAACGCATTCAATAATATCAAAAAATGTCATAAACAATTTATCACAATGTTTAGATGCCAAATTTCACGTTTAAACGTCAAATTTTGGCATTTTAAATGTCAAGTCTTGTGTTTTTGATTGATCTCGCGATTTTCCGACATTCCATTAACTGCTTACACACACCATAAAATACACATCTTTGTATCACTTACAGCTCTGTGTGCTGAGCTACCCCACTGAGACCTCACACAAAGGCCAGGGGGTGGTCCTGAAAGTTCAGTTCACACTGGACCAAGAAGGTGCAGAGTTTGCGAGGATCAACCCCATCAAACTGGTTGGGTTCTCAAACTTTGGTTCGAAGGGAGGTGGATGGAGTGGGAGGTTGTACAGGAGCAGGAACTGGAACAGGGATTGGAGTGGGACAAGCAGTGGAGCGAGCAAGATGGGTGATTGCCTGTGTGAACTGGGTGAGTACTGGAACAGGGACTTGCTCAACTTCATCGTCATCACCAACGAGAATAGGAATAGGTGGAATAGGGACAGGTTCATGAGGAACCAGCCCATCTTCATTAACAGCCTCAACAAAGACAGCCGAGTCGTGCATGCTACTGGCGACAACACGGTCGAAGTTGGAACCTATAAAAGAGTGGTTTGTAGCTCAAGAGCAGGAGCGTGAATGTCTAGGTCGCAAACATAAAGAAGGTGAACGTCTTTCAGAGGAAGATCGTGAGCTAGTAGTAGATGGAATGGTATGAGAAATAGGACTAGGAGACTCAGCTCCAGCACATCTATTTGGAATGGGATGACCAGAACTGGTGCCTGCTCTCGGCGTCACATCTATAATCAAGCCACAAGTCTGTGAATGGGTACGGATCACTCTAGACATAGTGAGCGTTAAAGGAATGACTTGAGTGCAAAATACTGTCAGAACATGGCAAAGAGGGAATGAGCATGTCTGGACCTTTCCCTGGAAGGGAGGCCGGAGGTAGAGGACGAGCAGAGGGACTGTGGCCTCAGCAACTCGGAGAGGAGCACTGTGCCTACATTTGGTAACGCTAGTGCTGGGTCCTTAACTTCAGAACAAGGGGGCGCAAACTCTGGGGGGATCTAGTCATCGATTTTGCACTCAAGTGTCATCAACTATGGTACATGACTTATATACATAATACAAGACAAATGAGAAGAAAGGGAAAACCCAAGATGGACTTACCCACTTGCCAGGTTGGCGAGCTCATGAGAGAATTGCCTTATCAAGCACTGTGGAGTGGGTAGATGAAGGGTGGGATTAGCGACAGCTATTGGATAATGGGAAAACCTTTGCAGGGTTGGCAGAGGTCCTAGGAGGTCTGTAGTAATGTTGGGTAGGTAGAAATATTAATAAACTTCTATGATGAGGATATGGGGTACCAGAGAAGGTACCGGAGATCGGAGGTGGAGGTGGACTGGAAGTATACTGGAGGATATGGCAGAGGTGAGGGAGAGGACAAACCAGAGGTGAACCGGAACAGTGGCGGAGTAGATTGGAGGTGGATATGTGTCAGGGCAATAGCCCCGAACCCTGAGCCACATGTAATTAAGATACATATAGTCACGTGGGTAAGCGGGAACCTCCGGGTAACTGCTTACACACTACCATAAAATACACACCCTTGTATCACTTACGGCTCTGTGTGCTGAGCTACCCTGAGACCTCATAATATGACAATTACTGACTGTGCATGCAAACTTTTGCTAACTTGGCAAATACTGAGAGTTAGAGTATGACCTTAGTATCGTTAGAAAGGTTGGAATAAATGTAAATTTATGGTGCTAAGAACGTGAAAAACCATTAAGAAATGAGTGAGATATATGGACTTGAAGTTGGTAACCTAAAGATGTGTGGGAAGACAACTTCTAGAGGTCTCAATCCCTGAATAAAATCCATAAAAATACGCTATCATTGTGGACAACTTAGTATAACAACAAACAATACATATGGAGGATTAGGATACAAGAATATGAACAGGAACCAGGGGAAATGGATGGAAAACCATGAAAAAGCACAAAACTATGATGGACCATGGTGGGAATTTTAGGGGAAAATGTACTAATAAAGCAGAGAGCTCTAACACATTTGTTTGTTCAATTCTTAACTACTATCAACTCTTTTCGTTCTAAAAGTTGAACCATTTCATTTGTTTAACATTTCAAATCACATTTCTACTAACTGTGGATAAAAATAGAGTAAATCAGCTGAAAGTCATAGCACAGCCATATGCACAGTAATGTGCAGTCTGAATTCAGAATGACCAAGTCATAGCAAACTTAATGGGAAACAAGTAGAATTTGAAATCAAAAACTGCAACAAATGCAGCACAGCCAAGTCCTAATTAAAACATTAAAATAGCTTAGGCAAGGAAGGACAATGAGAATTCAAGGTGCAGTCTGAGTGCAGCCAGGCCACAGTTTAGTGCAGCTGAGTGCAGTAGAACTACAGCATGAAAAGTTCATTTTTTATTCAGTTTGAGGAAAATACACTGTAAATAAATTCTGTAAATACAAGGTAGAGCATGAAAAAGGAAGGAGACCCTTTAAGCCCCCCTGAGAGAAGTAAGAAAATAGAGTATTATTTTTCTCAAGCATTTCTGGTTATCACTCCAGTGCAAAAAAGTGAAATACAGTTAAGATTGCCACTGTAGTAAAAGGCAGTAACTCGTGAAAAGTGATAGATGCTCCATGGGCTCCATGGAATTTCATGGAATTTCATGACATTTCATGGGATTCCATGGGATTCCATGGGATTCCATGGGATTTTTTGAAATTTCATGGATTTTCATGGATTTTCATGGAGTTCCATGGATTTTCTGACAAATTACATGACTTTTACAGCCTCCCATGGGTGGTCATGGGCTTCTGTGGATGTTCATGGACTCCCATGGGTGTTCATGGAATCCCATGGATATTCATGGACTCCCATGTTTCAGAGGTCTGGACCCTCAAGGGTAGTCACAGGCCCCCATTGGTTCTATGGACACCCATGGATGCTCATGAACTCCCAAAGGCCATTTATGTAACAGCTTGCTCTGTTACAAGGATTTGACACTCAATGCTGCCACAGTGATGTGCAGATGGTCAGAGCAGAGGGGGGATTTCCATTGTTCAATCAAGTGTGAAGCAAATATTGCCATATTAATGATGAAAGTTACTAAAGACAGGCAGCACTGACATGTCTATATTCACCAGTACTATTTACATAAATTTTGCTGTGACCAAAACTGATGGAGATGTATGCATGTTTTTCCCTGGGCTCCTGTCAGGGCACACCTGCCCACCTGGCTCCACCCAGTGCCCTGCTTCCCCCTTTTCTTCCTTCTTCTCTTTTTTTATTACCCCTCCATCCTTCCCCTTTCTTTACTTTACTTTACTCTTGTTCTTTCTCTTTATCACATGGATGGCTTTCTCTGTATTGATGTCTACTAACCTGCAACCTGCATGCATGATGTGCCCGGTCCCAGGCATGCCAGATGACCTGGGTGCACTCCTGTTGTGCACCCACAGCAGATGTCCTTGGGATCTCCCATGGAGACACCTGGATGGCTGTGTGTCAAGCACACAGCGAGGAGGGCAGTGTCCCTGGACCTTTCCCCAGAAGGAGGCCAGAGGTAGAGAACAGGCAGAAGGACCGCAGCCTCAGCGACTCGGAGAGGAGTGCTGTGCCTATGTTCGGTAATGCTTAGGAGTCTGGTCCCCAACTTCAGAACAAGGGGGCGCGAACTCTGGGGGATAGTCTTGTCGATTTTGCACTAAGGTGCCATCAACTACAGTACAGGACTTATATACATAATAGAAGACAAATAGGGGAAAACCCAAGGGGGACTTACCCACTTGCTGGGTCGGTGAGCTCATGAGAGAATCGCCTTATCAAGCATTGTGGAGTGGGTAGGTGAAGGGTGGAATTAGTGACAGCTACTGGAGAGTGGGAAAACCTTTGCAGGGTGGATGGAGGTCCTAGGAGGTCCGTAGTAATATTGGGTAGATAGAAATATTAATAAACGTTTAGGATGAGGATAAGAGGTACTGGAGAAGGTACCGGAGATCGGAGGTGGAGGTGAACTGGAGGTGCAGGGGGAGGACGGACCAGAGGTGGACCGGAGCAGTGGCAGAGTGGAGCGGAGGTGAGGCAGAGTTGGTATGGATATCACACTGTGGCTGTGTGCGAGAGTGGCATGGCACTCTGCATGTGACCCTGGGTACATGTATATAAACACAGCCGAAGTGGGAACCAGAGAAGCAACCTTCTTCTCATCTTTCCCACTTCAGGCAAGTACCCTAACCTAGTTTAGTTTCTCTTTTAATAACAATACATCTTTCCCACTTCAGTCTAAGTGGCCAGGGACAGCTGTCCCATATCAGGCCCACCAGTACGCACACCCGATCCACCCCCTGCAAGGTCCTCAGCACTGGGTGCTATACCTGGGCCACCTTGACCCTGGACGTGTCCCTGACAGCTCCTCACATGTATGATGCACCTGTGATTGGCTGTAAGAATTGTATTCCCCACCCTTAACCTCAATCCCCTCATTAATAATATATGTAACCTCATTATGGCATGTGCTGATGGACTGGGAGTGTGAGGCTACACCAGTGCTTAAACAAGCACACCAACATATTCAGTGGACACTCACAGTTGTGGCACAAAAATCAAAGTTCATATTTATTATTATAGAAATGGGATTTTCCCATTCTTAGCCTCTTATGGGCTCTGTGGAGTACAGTATCCCATGCCATGTAAATAATTAGTATCCAACAAACTATCATTACACAAAACCTGACCCAACCATGTTATTGTAAACCAAGCTCTCACAACCTCTGCCACATTATCTGTAGAATCATCCCTATGCTGACCCCCTATCCTGCACCCAAAACCTATGGAAATGGACCAATTCAGCCCCATAGTTATAGCATTTATACAGACTCCTGTGAAGACATACAGTATAAAGGCTTTTGGTTGGGTCCCCAGGGGTCTCTATATTTTATGGAGTCCTGCAATTTCAACTGATATTTTCACTTGCTATAGTATTGTCAGGGCACCTCACCTGACCATACAACCCTGAAACCCCTCCCCCCAGTCTCTCCCCATTTTCCCTATTTTTCCATGTGTATTTACAACCAGGAACCCACAAACAGACCCACAGGAAAAGTCACATGGGCTAGGCAACAATGTCACCTAGCCCATGTGACACCTTTTCCAAGTTGTGAGAATGCACCTGGCTTCTGCCCACAGTCATGCTATACACTGGCACAGTCCACTTCCTTTTATAGTAGCTTAGCAGGGATAGGGAAACTCACCCTTCTTCTCAACTCACTCCCCACTAAGCCCCCTCAGTGAGTTTGAGGAACTAGTGCCCCACTGCCCAGAACACTGCACACACCCAACTCCAAGGTCAGGTTGCCCCTGGATGAGGGCTGAGTCCTGACAAGTATATTATTGTTCATGCACTGTCATGGACTTCTGTGGACCTCCATAAACCTCCATGAACATTCATGGACCCTTCTAATAACACTCCCATGGGTATTCATGGGTATCCATGGGCATTCATGGTACCCATGGAATTCCATGGAAATTGGAAGATAATGTTGTACATGGGTGTTCATGGCCCCCCACAAAAACCCATGGAAGCCCATGAAAGCCCACAAAAGCCCATGAAAGCCCATGAAAGCCCATGAAAGCCCATGAAAGCCCATGAAAGTCCATGGAAGCCCATGGAAGCCCATGAAAGTCCATGGAAACCCATGGAGCCCATGGGAGATATTACACTTTTCAGATGTTACTTGTAGAAGGCAGCAACCAGGGAGAGAAATATTAAGTAAATATTTCAACAGGAGAGCTGGTTAACACTCCAGATT